ATAAGTTTGGAATGAAATATGATACTTTTATACAAAATTCATTCGACAAACTTATGTGCATGTAAGAAGATCATATATAGAGTTTATGAAGACTTATATAGTATCCAAACATGTAATTCATGCATCAAATTACATTCATTTTCCCATTATTCATATTATCCTTTTTATCTTTAATATAAATTAGATAGATGGCTTAGACATGCACTTTTCTAATCGATGCTTTTTAGCTAAGTTCTAGGATCTATTAATTATCTAGTTAGAGAGTTTTCACCCCTATAGTGTTGACAACTACCTTGTATGAGAACTGCTATTAGCTTTGGTCCATCACCCAAATATTAAGTCATATTTGGTACCTTTAAGCATACCATCGATTTAAACCTCAATGTTTAGCATATGTTTCTATTCACACATTATATAGATAGTAGTATCCCGAGAATATTGGTTTTTTAATTTGAGGCTATTGTTGAATAATTTCTCTTGCGCGACTTCAACTAGCGTAACATGTTAGCAATCACTCAATTATGTTGCAGTGACACACATTTGAGTCTTTGCAAGAAACTATCACTGTATATATGGAATCCATCTATTCCATCAGACAAACCAATATTTTCTAATATGATGAGGCTTTGCTTTTGTTGCAAGAAATACCTTTCATATGCATCATTCCATTCGAAGTTTGGTGGCTTTTGTGATTGTTGAGATGGTGATGTTTTTTGAGAGAATGCTCAAATGAACTTTTTATAGTATCCAACTAATTCGAGTAAGCTTCAAACTTTAGACATACTAATCTATGTTAGCCACTTTACCACAATTGTAATCTTCTGAGAGTCCATTGAAATACCAACAACATTAATGATGTGTCCCAAGAAGGAAATATTGTCAAGCAAGAAGGACGTTTAGAAAATTTTGCATATAATCAATGGTCTTAAAGGGTTTGTAGGACAATTCATATAGGGTTATCAAAATGAATTAACATGTTGTGTTCCCGTCCAACTCTATGTTGACCCGATCTGAACCCAATTGACATGAACCTAACTTGTTTGATAAACGGGTCAAAAAGGTGGACATGACCGGCCTGCCGGCAACCCGGATGGCATGAACCCAACCTGTTAACCCATTTTGATTTTAAAAAATTGTAAATAGTCAATATTGAGTTTATATTAATCGATCAAAAGTAAGAAGATCATTCAAACATGCAAAATAATTTAAAAAAATAATTAAATAGATCATTATTAGGTAAAAATTAGTTTGCAGATCAACCTGAAACTGATCCACTTATTCAATGAGTTGGAAATCCTGACCTAAACCCGACTCGCTTATAAAATGGGTCAACCCTAACCTAGAATTTTTGGGTCAGGCCTATGTCAGGCTATTGGGTGGGGTTATTTATTGAAACCCTTGAATTCATATATGCTCCTTGTGTTCATTTAGATCTTGTGGGTGAACTAGAATGTCATATATGAAGACTATCACGAAATGAACTAAATAGGGATGAACACTATGTATCAAATCTATTTATATTTTTTAGGTGTTTGCCAATCCAAGTGAAATAATACGGAGCTCATAATGGTCATATCATCCAAAATGCCATCTTCTGTATGTCCTACTCTTTTTTTATGTGTTGATAATATCCTGATTTAAGGCTAATCAATGAGAACATTTTTGCACCTTAACGGAATATATGGAGTGTAATTTTAGTAGTAATAGACCTTGAGTGATGGTGAAATAGATGGGGATATTATCAGCATAATTCAAGTTGGATGGTTGAAGTGGAGGAATGCATCGGGCTTATTATGTGATAGAAATGTACCCCTCAAACTTAAGGGAAAATTCTATAAGATGGTAGTGAGGCCTGCAATGCTTTATGGTGCCGAATGTTGGCCATTAAAAGAGAAGCATAATACTAAGTTAAGTGTGGCAGAGATGAGGATGCTCAGGTGGATGAGTGGCTTTACCCTTAGAGATAGGATACGAAATGAGCATATACGTGAAAAGGTTGGAGTAGCTCCAGTAGAAGATAAGATTAGAGAGAGTCGCCTTACATGGTTTGGTCACATAAAACGGCGGCCTTCAGATGACCCGGTTAGGAGAGTAGAGGTATTAGATTTGACTTATGTTAAGAAAGGTAGGGGTAGACCAAAAAAGACTTGGTTAGAAAATATTAGGAATGACCTTTCTTTATTAGATTTAAACGAGAATTTGACTTTTAATAGGATACAATGGAGAAAAAGGATTCATGTAGCCGACCCCACGTAGTGGGATAAAGGCTTGATGTTGTTGTTGTTGTTGTTGTATAGTTGTTGAAAGAGGTCATTAATTCATGGAAGAAGTAACTTCTTCTTGGCAGTTACTTTGCCCAATTCTTGGTAGTTTGATGCACAATCTCATGCTATGTTCCTTCTTACTCAAAAACATAGTTAGAGCTCTCAATGGTAACTCAAAAGGCTGAATGATCTTACAATTAAGTCTTCTACTCTAACATCTGAGTCATTATCATTCGTAAGGTGTCTTCAAGATTAACATCATCCCTGACAATGCATCTATTGCAAATCTACTTCTCGATTAGGCATTAGGTCAGTTGGATAAGTAGGAAAATGTATCTAAATTATCTTAAAAATATGAACCTTATCAGATTATATCGTCTTCTCTTCCAAGCCTCTGACAATAGATTATGGATTTGTTTATTCTCTTGTAAGGCATATATTATAGAGGGAATCACTCTACTCTTTGCCAAGGAGTAAAACTTGGCCGATCTATTTATCTTGACCTTGTTTCTTTACTCTTGATAGGCGATTATAACATGATATCATCAAAATTGGTCATGGATATTATGATTAATGAGGAAATGAATACTTTTTTATTCCTATAAAATAAGTTCTCATGTAAACATGAAGAAAGTTCGATATTATCTGTATTCTACAATGGGATAGACCATTCTCTCACTTGGTGTGCTTCAAGCCTTAAATTATAACAGATAATACAAGTATAAATATATTAGAAATGTATAATGCATTTGTATCCAAATTTGTATCTCTTGAGCTTCTTGTCAAGTCAATGCCAACACTAAAATGCTTTCAACCGGGTAATCTCATAGAGTTTAAATCTTGGAATAATCTTGTAAGGCACTAGCTTGCCCAATGGGTATGTTCAAGTTTGAACCAATCTGCTATCCAGATGATAATTGCATGCAATGTTTTAGGATCCATTGCATCAATAACACTACCAAAAATCCGCTAAGCACTGCCGTCGTTGGTTCTTCCCACGCTTTGAGTGGGTTGTCTTTGCATTGGAATTATTCTTGGACAAAAGGCCATCACCTTTTCTTGACTTGTTCCTCAGTTTGCTCTATTCTTGCCACACCTAGGTCACTTTTTACTTGTTCTCTCATTCGGCCATTAATCGGTAGTTCTCCAGTTGAAAGGGAACCAATGGTTGATGGGCATAATCCCTCAAACCCTTAAGAAACAGTGAAGACCTATGTTCATCATTTGGAATAATTTTTGAATTGTAGCAAGTTAATACTGCAAACTTTTCGCTCTTAGCTGTTTTCATACTTCTTTGCACAAGTTTGTTGAGTTCTTGTTGCATTTGACTCCATGCTGCAATAGTAGTATATTCAAACCAAAAGTTCTGGAAGTCCTCCCATGATATCTTGTTATCTAGTTGACCTTTCAAGTCGATACTTTTTTACGAAAAACAAAAAGCACGCCCAAAAAAATTTATAAATCACAGACTTCTAAATAAATTAAAACAAAAATCTAATAGCTTTTATTAGGGTGCAGATTTTTAAGTTAAGAAAGATATGCAAATACTTTGAAATTCACGTATTTTTTGACAATTAGATTGTATTTAATATGTTTAAAATCAATCACACACTCAAACCAATAATTAAATACATTAAAAAAACAAAATTGAAAGAATTCACTAAAAGTAAGCCTTATGCCTGTAAAAGAACATGACCCTCCCATGAAACTTGAAGTGTCTCAATTAATCAAAGAATTGACTCTTAGAAGTGGCAAGAATAATACATTTAGCTTGAATTTTATTAAAGAAACAATTAATACCCATTTGCACATACATAAACTCCTATTTATAATTTCGAAGCTCCTTGGGTTTCCATATTCTTGAAATTGAAAAATTAATGGAGAATTATTCATTAAGGTCATTGAAACCCAGTTAGCAAAGGTAGAGAAGTTGCTAAAGTCTGATAACAGTGTAAGCTAGTCCTTTTGATCTTGATAGTAGAGGATGTACTTGTTAATAGCGTTATAGAAAATTTTCAGGAGGCTGTTCATAAAGGCCACATAAAAGAAGAAGGCCGCACCCAGTGGTAGTGGAGGTTTTGGCCTGACATATAGGGGAGCTTCTTGGTTATAGAAGCTATTGAATAGCAGCTTCTCTGCATAACTATTATGTAACAAACTACCCAAAAAAAAATCAACTTGATCTTAACAGATCAGAATAAGGTTCAGTGATCTAGTTGGTGGCACACCATTAATTAGTTAATTAATGAGAAAAGGATTAAAATGGTCCCTTAACTCTTTAGGAAGTGCCAAAATAGTCCCCAACTAAATGGTCTCTCAACTCTTTAAAATAAGATCATTTTGGTCCTAACATTCAAAATAATGGATGTTGGACTTAATGTGTTAAAAATTAAGGATATTTTAGTAATTTTTTTTACTAAACTATTTATTGGATATAGTTTTCAAATAATTATAATTTTTTAAATAATTATTAATCATTTGTTTAATAAGAAAAATTGGATATAGTGTTTGTTTGGTTTCTTGGCTGTTTCCTAGGCTGGCCGTACCTTTTCCTTGGTGTCTGTTAGGTTTCTTAGGCGTTTGATTCCTGGGCTGGCTGTTGGGACGCCTGACTGCTCGGTTCGTGGTCTGGCCGTGCCTTGTTCTTATAAAACAATCCTTCAGATCTAGTTGTATTAAAGTTCTCTTTTATTTTATATCATCGATCTAATATTTAACTTCTCTTTGTATCTTTAGCACACAATGCAGATCATTCAAGGAGAGAGCTGACAAGGTGAAGCAGGGCCTGGAAAATGCTATTACCGGCATTTCTGTAGAGATTAATCCTCAGAAGGTTTGTTTCAAAGCTTTAGAAGATGTTTTATAGTCTCTTTTCATTCCATGCGCTGCTCTTTCATGATCTCAGTTTTTTTGGCAAATAAAGCATTTTGCGATTGGAATATAGCTCCCTTCTTGACTTGTTGATGTAGTAGCATTTTTCATATATGCCGTATTTCAATTGAGCTGTTTCAAAAAACTTATGATTGAGTCCCTTCTGAAAAGTAACAGTTATTGTTGCCCCATTTCTCTTTGAATATGAACAATGCTTAATTAGTTGTCTTAGATAACTTTTGTGGGAAGTGAGCTACAGGACTTTGTGCTGATCATACCACTATTTTAAGTTTCTTCTTCTTAACATCTATTTATGAGTCCTTGAAGAGTAATTGGAGTTAACTCCCTTTTTGACATGTTGATGTAGTAGTTTCTTCTATCTATGCTGTGTTTCAGACGAGATGTTTCTAAAAAAGCTTATGATTGATATCCCTTGTGGAAAGGAACAATGAAAAGCAACAATTTGTTTTCATTTTGTCGCCCCATTTCTCTTTGAATATGAAAAATGCTTACTTTGTAATCTTAGATAACTTTTGTGGGGGTGACCTATGTGGCTATAGGACCTTGAGCTCATTATACATGCTATTTTAAGTTTCTTCTTAATAACATCTATTTGGTCCTTGAAGAGTTTTATGCCGCATAGGAAATGAAGGATAAAGTACAAATTGTTTGAGATTTTTAATGCCCTAATTTTAGTTGTGTTGGAGCTAAATTTGTCTGTATAAGGATAACAAGGCCTTACAATAGAATTGAATCATTCCCACGGTGAGAAAAAGAGAGAAAATAGGTCTCTTATAAATAATTAAATTAATTAACTTACAAAGGTTGTGATTGAACCCCTTTAATTAGAGAAAGGTGAATCATATCGATCTAATGGAATACACTTCAAGTAGAAAGATTTCATAGAGAGTTCTAATAATATTTCATATGAGATTTTTGATGACTATAGATCATAGTATTTATGTTTATCTAAGTGTAATAGAAGGCTCATCAGTGACATCAAGGGTAGAAGTTACCCGCTCAAAGGTTCTGAGAGAACAACACATGTGACTCTCAATAGTAAGAGATGCAACAAAAGTCTCATTAACATGGATGCTAAAGTGAGATGTGGGTTCAAGCTCATCAGGATATTTATCTAAGATAGATGGGTTAATGGTTGTGCCATACACATACAGTTGGAGGCTTGTAGTTTTTTTTTTTCTTTTCTTAAAAAGCCAATTCCGAAAGATGGTATTGGTGTTATTTGATATCCTCATAAGCCTTGGAGGCTTGTATTTATTTATTTAATAGAGGCTTGTAGTTTTTGTGTTTGGAGAGAGGTTGTAGGTCATCCTTAAAAATACATCTTGTCTATTTCTCAAGATTTATGAATATTTCATTTATAAAATTAAACCTATCAATAATCTTATGAGTTCAATCATTCATGCAAAGCTCACACTCTTTTGATCTTTTCCTATCAAATGATGTTTCTCAATAGTTGAGAAGACTATCTTGTCTTTATCAAATTTAGGTTGTCGTGGTGTGTATTTAGATTTTAATTTTTTTTTTTCATTTTTGTCCATGTTGCACTTTTCTCAAAAATTTGTTCTCTTTCCAATAAGTCATTTCAATGCATTTTGGGCTTTCCTATCAATTTTTTGTTTTCCAAACTTAGTTCTTTGATAATCATCCATATTTTGCTAATAAAAATATCATCTAATTATTTGAGTTAATCTACAAATTTATAAATGTTGTGCACACCATCAAAAGTAAGAGTTTCAAAATTTGAATTTGTGTGGTGGGTATATTATGATGTAATGGGGTTTATGATTAAAAACATGAAAATGTCAATATGAAAAAAATAGCAAAAAAGATTAAATGATTTGACCTAACTAAGATAACTTTCGGGTGACAAGAAGGGCAATAATGGGCCGCTTTAGCCCCAAGCTTTTCTTAAATAATTTAGGTCTTTTTTGATAAACCATCTTTAGTTTTACAAATACTCAAACCACTTATGTGGTTTTTTTGGTGCAAAATTATTATGGGAGGGAAGGAAAAAATGCTTGTGCAATAATTAAATATAGTGTATGAAAAAAGTTTTATAGTATTTAAGCAATTTTTAGCAGCTAGTTTTCACAAATGAAGATAAACATACATAAAACGAATTAATCATGAGTAAGCATGAAGAAATATAGCTTTAATTTTCATTTTTTAAAAGTACATTCAATAGATTAGATGGAATATTTCTTTGTGGATTACATCCTTATATTACATTGAACTCTTATGTGCTAAAGGGGTGCAGTAGGTTTTACAATAGTATTGATTTGATTTTTATGTGGTGTTTACTATTAGAAATTTCACAAATTAATTTTAGAATTTGCCAACATAACGTGCAATGTTGTAGATTTCCTTAGCATATATTTCTAGCAAAGTAAAGAAATTTAATAGCAAAGGAAAATTAATTATTACCGCTTGATTTCAAAATTCTTTGTTAGTCAAGTATAAGATTTCCTTATCTTGAAACAAAAGTGATTTAGTGATTGAGAGCCTTGGTGGAAAAGTTTCAAGATAAGGCTATCCCTTGTCATGACGTTGGTGCTTTTTTATATTGATTAGTTATCCAGGATAGGAGAAGAGGTTTTAAATCTTTGGCGTACCAATTTATGGAGAGGTTGTTAAAAGATTTCAAAGGTTATAGTGGTGGTTGAAGTTTTAAGGTTGATGGAAGGCTATGAAAAATGTCGACTAGTTTAGGATTTTTATACTAGTTTTGATTTAGGATGATGTTAGATCAACAAGTGAATAATAGGACTTGAGATTTTGTGGAAGAGGTATTACTCAATGTTTGTGAAGTTTGAATTAGTTTAAGGCTTTGAGAAGATGGTGTGATCTAGTAGAACAAGAAACAAGAGAGAAGGATATAGTAGGGTACACAGTAATTGTGCTTGATTTGCAGATCATTTCTTAAAATTGGCAGCACCAACTTCTTGTCGATGTAGGGTTTTGAAAGAGATTAAAATTATTTTTCACTGAATCAATGGATATATAAATTATATACATTAAATGCTGTAGAAAAGAACTTATAAGCAAACAAAAATTCCTCATTGAAAATTCATTTATAGGATATAATGATAGCCCCCTTTAAGATATCTTATTTTTGGAAACAAATAATATCTCTTCAATTTAAAACATTTAACTAAATATTTGATTGTTTATCTTAAATCTTTAATTTGGACTGATTAATATAGTTCCAGATAGAATTTTTATTTAAAATGTTCTCCTCAAATCTCAAATGATCAATCCCCTATTTCTTAAAGAAAATAAATCAAAATACAAATAAATTACAAATTAATTATCATGATAATGAACCTTTGGAATTTATCTTGTGAGAGTCTCCCTTTACTTGCATCAAATATTACATATGGGCCTTTGAGACTTATCAATATGGAATATATATATATATATATACTTATTAGATACTTAACGAGTTTGATGAAACATGTCTAGAAATTCAATATATCATTTGCAAATTGAATAAGGAGAATTTTGTAGTTTTGATGTATGCAAAAAAAATTATCTTAATGCCCATTTGATGATGGACACTTTATGATGAATTTCTCGTTGATCTTCTTCTTCCTTGGTTATTTAAATGGGTTTTTATTTTCTTTATTATCTTTAGATATGTGAGAATTGACTGAGGTCTTTGAGAGAATAAATAAATATTAGTGCTTGTTTATTGAAACATCACAGGTTTTGCGGCTAGCTATAACACAGATCGAGCACTATAGTATGATAAAGTATTAGATCAATTAAGAGGAGTGGGAGTTCTGTGAGGTAGACATATTTGGAAGAATATATGAGCCATCAGTTAGTAGATTGAAGTTGTGAGGGAGGGAGGTAGAGTGAGATAGAGAGAGGAAATAATAAGAGGTTGAGATCTTTTAATTTTCATGCATTCAATTAATAATACACATTACAATCATTCAACCCTTATTTTTAGAAATAAAGTTCAAGATAGATAAAATTAATTCAACTATACATTACTTATGAAATTTAAATAATCTAATTTAAATAAAGATATGTTAATAATCAAATGAAATCAATTGAAATAAATCTTAAATATTGCAAAATATTAGAATTTTCTTAAAATAATCTTGGGTTGCTTCAATTCCCTTTATGTTTAGAACTTTTCTATTTATGAGTTTTCTAAAAGCCTGTTCTTGGAAGTTCGATTTTTATGGTGGAGGTGGTGTTGGAACTGGTACATGAATATCTCCTTTATTAACATGTGTAGTCTAAAAATAAGTACTCTTTGCAAGTAAGGAGTTGGCCCGATTTCTAATCCAAAGAGTGTTGTTAATTCAGCCACATTTATTTGCACACAATTCCTTGAGCGTCATTCTGGAGCTAGTGAACTTTGATTCTTGATTGGGCAAGTTCATAGTTTGGTGTTAAACCCCATAATGTTCGTACATGAGAGGCGAGTTCCTTGAGTATTACAATTGCTTTATGCTTTTATTACGTATACACTCGCCAAATTGATGGAATTGTTCATATAGAAATTGATAGAAAAGTCCATCTCAAACTTAAGGGAAAATCCTATAAAATGGTCGTGAGACTTGCAATGCTTTATGGAGCAGAATGTTTGCCATTAAAAGAGAAGCATCATATTAAGTTAAGTGTTGTAGAGATGAGGATGCTCAGGTAGATGAGTGACTTTACTCTTAGAGACGGGATACGAAATGAACATATACGTGAAAAGGTTGGAGTAGCACCAGTGGAAGATAAGATTAGAGAGAGCCGCCTTAGATAGTTTGGTCACATAAGACAACTGCCTTCCGATGACCCTGTTAGAAAGTAGATGTATTATATTTGACTTATGTTAAGAAAGGTAGAGGTAGACATAAAAATATTTGGTTAGAAAATATTAGAAATGACATTTCTTTATTAGATTTAGATGAGAATTTGACTCTTAATAGGATACAATGAAGAAAAAAGATTCATACAGTCGACCCCACATAGTGGGATAAAGGCTTGTTGTTGTTGTTGCTCATATAGAAATTTTGTGACAAATGCTTAGATGGCGGTGATACCTAAAATGCTTATGACACGAGCAAGGACGTGCTCACTTCAATTATTTTCAATGTGGCTTTTTATGGGAATTGACTAGGGTTGGTGAGTACAAATTCCTTTAGTTTTCTTGCCTTGATGAGGTATTAAATGAGTTCATGAGGGTACATGCACTACTTAGTGTCGTGCATGTGGTCTTTATGAAAGACAATATCTAGAGTTATCCCTTGTGGGGGCATTCGATTTCATGGGTGTTGGGCGCTAAAAGAAATCTTTATTTTGAGTGGTCTCTAATAGCTCGGCCAGGGATAATCGCGGGGGGTTATTTTGTCATGGTAGTGAGTAGGATGTGTACCTTCTTCCTGAGAAGGGTGAGTTGTTTGGGGTGCTTCCTCAACTTGCGGTGCGGATGGCCTAGCTATTCTAAGCGATACTGCCTACAAGCACGCTCTTTGTAGACTGAGGTAACGTTGATTATGTGGTGCATGCTATCTTCTATTTTCTCAGTGGTTCCTCTTGTAACTTCTCTCGTATTCGCACCATGGAGCCGATCCTCCCTAACGACGAGTTCTTTGGGACGAGTGTTGAAGATTTTGACCACTTTAACTATACTTCTCAGCATTTTGACATATTTGTTGGCGAGTTCAAATAATTCAACTAGCATCCTGAGTTGTTGTAGTCTTAATGCCAAATGGGCTTTCTCTTAGGTTTTGTGTCAGAATGGCTTGTGCGACAATTGACTATATGTCTTTCACCTTGAGCATTTCCTTTTACAACCAAACGGTAAAGCTTTTGAGTGACTTGGGTCTAGCGCATCTTCTAAAGAGCTTTTGAGCTCTTGAAGAGTCTCTGGGCGCTTCTAAACTATGTGATTAACATCCTCTTGAACTCCGCAAATGAGGTAATTACTGCTAGGGGTAGACAAGTGAACCGTCAGAGAGCCGACTTCTTGAAGATTGTAAAGAATAACTGACACTTCAAGGCATTGTTGATGTTGAGCAATGACCTTATTGATGTGAGGTAGGCAACATGGTTAGACGGATCAATACTCCCTCTATAAGCATAAATTTGGAGGAGGCCTTGCCTCTACAATCTGCTTTGAAAATATATTGGTTTGGGCTTTACCCTTCTTACTTGCTGAGGAGGGTAGTATTCTTCATCACTGGTAAGAGTGTGAGTATGATCTATATTGGGTTTCAAGGTGAATGCTTTGGTTTTTGGCTTGAGTGTCTGTTTGGGGTGCTCTCCTCGAGAGCATTTCTTTGCCATCCTCCAACTACATCTTGAATTATTTTAGTGAGCCACCTCTTTATCTTCAAGAGGTCGCGGCAGGTAGTGTAGTTTAGTGCATTCATATTCATTGCAAGCTTCGGGTTTTGCTAATCATCAAGATGTGCTTGTCTTCTTTTCACTGACATTAATCCATGTTCATTCATCCTTTTAGGTTGTTATATTTGAATTTGTTCATGAATGATACTTGACTTTACTAGCAAGTAATCTTCTAGGTGCGAATTAGAGAACTCGGAGAGACTTTGGTGTGTATGGAGAGAGAGATCAGAATATAGAATATACTCAGAGAATATCCAAAGATCTTGAATATGCTGAAAGATCTGGGAAGTAATAAAAAGATCCCAGTTGTGTCTACTCACCTCTTATATATAAGGCTTGGAGGGATATATGGAAAGTTACACGTAATGAAAAAATAAAAATACATGTATAGTATTAATAACAACCCATTGCAGACAATATATGACCCATGGCATAAGCTGGTGGGTGCTTGCGTGGCTCTACATCTTCAAAATAGCCCTTGATCCTAGGTTGACTTCTTTAGGTGAGTTTTCATTGGTGAGTGTGTTGGGTGAATTTTTCGGGGATAGTCATGTAGGTGCCTTCTCTGCACGTGAAGGCATGTCCCTTGGGACTATTTTGACACCTGGATGCAAGGGCGAGTTCCTAGGGGTGATGATGATCGCGAGCTGAGGACTTATTGAGTCCAGGTGGTCATGGTCATTGACCACTGAGGTGTGCATTTCTTAAAGCTCGGTTAGGGGGTGTTAGTGGGGGATTGGTAGTTCTTTTGATGGAGAATGTTCTCAGCAGGCTAATCTCTATCGAGATGAGTGTCCCTCTAGTGTTTAGAAGATACTGTATGAGTTCCCTAATAAGCATGCTTACGACAACTATTTGATTTGGTCAATTTGGATGAGTCACATCTCTCCTGCTACCGAGTACCTTAAATAAGCAATGTGATTTCCTTGGATGTGATCTCCTTATTGCAAATTGCTAGGCACATATGAAATACTTACATGATCTCTTATCCTGCTGGTCTATTTCTCAAATCATTCCCTTGAAAGAAGTTCCAAATCCGATTCAAATTATACAGGAACTCCTCTGACTTGGTCTGCAGCCTTCTCTTCTGTGCCGTTCTCTGATGTGATTAACTTCCTCACTACTCCAGTCATATTTGAAGGCTCGTGGGAATTGTCAGTTGCTAATTTGTGAGGAGATACAGTAATGAATGGATTTTAAAGCTTGAGAATTTTTAGGAAGCCTCATGTAAATTACCATGTAGCAGCTTTTTATTGATTCATATCGCTCTGGTAGTAAATTGGGGTGAACCATACCTATTATCATAGGTGACTGTTGTTCACAATAATTTATCTTTAATTTAAAAGTGCTAATGCTTATGCAGCTCATATTGGTCTCTTGGTTGGGAACTTTGACTACCAAAAGGGTTTTGAGTTCGAGCTTTGTGTATGTGAATTTACCTTTATTGGCCTAAATGTCCCCCCAAAAAAGGAGTGCTAATGCTACTTTTCACTGCAGCCTCGACGGGGATACTTTGAGATTCGTGAAGAAAAAACTGAAGTAATTCTCTCCCTTCCGGTAAGCCCTGAACACAACTTAACTGCTACTGCAGCAATGTAATACTCAGCACTTTCTAAGGCTTTGTTTGGGACGGCTTTCTTATTGCAATACAAAAGTTGTCCCAAATGAAGCCTAAGACGTTACATATTTTTATCTATCTTAAATGCAGAGTATGAATCGGCCATTTAAATTGATGAAGCAGCTTAACATGGATGAACTCGTGAAGGATTTGATCAAGCGGTTCCAATGATTTCAGGTTTCGTCCAATTCTACAAAGCAAAACGCTATCGTTCCCTCACTAATGTACTCTGTGGTTGTAAACCTCCTATGGCAAAGAATGCTATCTGATCATTTTGACGTCTGTAGTTGTCACTCGACATTGAAGGTGATTCCATTCGTAGAACCATTAATATCTGGTTTTTTGATTTATTGGATTTTTTGTTGTTTGTGGATGATAACGGGTGCCTCTAATATATATAGGAAAAATTATTGTGTCCGGACAGGGTACGGAGCTCGGTACCGAGCGCCTAGTGATGTGGTGTATTTTTATTGGTCTATGGATGCGTTCGGTGTCCGGACACAATAATTACTCCTAATATAGCCATGAGGAAGGAGAAAAAAATGTATGGGAGGGAAATTCCAATAATTTCCGTGAGACTAGGACAATTGCCCCAAGAGTATATTCTTAAGGCAAATTATTGATCGACTATTTGGCTATTCGACTATAAAAATCATGTCAAGCCGACGACTTCTTCGAGCTCGGTTGATGGCTTCATTAAGTTGCATATTTTGACCAGGCTATAGAACTATTATATTTTCTCTTATTTTATATTTAGTCATGTAAGTAGCATATTCTATAAAGCTTGGCTTCAAATCAAATTTATAAATAGATGGTTGAGATGTGATTTTAGTTTACATAAGTTTATGCTATTTTTTATAATTGAATATATTTCATAGAAATTTTAGGGATTCTTACTCTTCCATTCTTCTTTCTTTCTCTTTTTTTTTTCTTCACCAATAATTTTAGGGAAATTTACATACATACCACTTTGTAACATCCTATATATAAATCTAACACCTAAAATTTTAATATTACATGCATACCATCCCTATATTATTTTAATATCAAATATACCACTTATATTTTGTTCCTACCACTCATATATTTCATTTCTACCACTCATATTTTATATGAAAATGAACTATGGGTGGTATATATGTAATATTAAAGTTTCAAGTGTTAAATATGTAAATAGAATAGTATAAACATACCATCCCTATATTATTTTAATATCAAATATACCACTTATATTTTGTTCCTACCACTCATATATTTCATTTCTACCACTCATATTTTATATGAAAATGAACTATGGGTGGTATATATGTAATATTAAAGTTTCAAGTGTTAAATATGTAAATAGAATAGTATAAGATTGTATGTATGTAAATCTCCCAATGATTTTTAAATACAAATATTATTCTTTAAGTAATTAAGAAATAGTTAATTTTGGAAAGAATTTTTAATAAGCTCTCTAATTATTATGAACAAAATAAAAGTTAAAAAATATCAAAAATTTAAATCATTTTTTAACATAATAAATCTCATTTAAATATTTTTAAGCATCAAATCCTTTAAACGGAAATAAATGATTTATCCGTTTCTTATAATTTGTCCTAACTAGTGAGCAAGGAGCCATAGCTATCGGTTACTTGCATGCAAGGGAACAAATTTCTAGGAATTAGGTGAAAATGAGTTAAGCCTATTTGCGAGTCGGCTGAGTTCGGCATGATAAATAGCTCGAGAGTCGAGTTTGATGAGCTAACGAGTTAAGCTTGGGTTAATCCCGACTCGACACAGCTCGTGAGTTGGCTTGTTTAAAAAGTATTAATATAAATATATATACATAAAATATATTACGATTCAAGATTTAAGCAGAAAGTCATTAAAAATATTAAAAAATTATATCTCACTTTATTATATTAAGTAATTTTTTATTATAATAATTATTTAAATTATAATTATTTTCTCACTTTCATAATAAATAAGCCGGCTCATAAGCCATCTGAAACTCATTAAATAAACCTCAAAGCTCGAACTCGATTAATTAATCAAGCTCAAGCTAGCGATGACTCGAGCTCATCTCAACTCGTTTACACCACTAATATAATTTATTTAATTTTTAAGTTAATGGCATTAATAAATATGAAATAAAGTGTGTGATCAAAGAAAAAATGAAAAACTATCAACAAAGTCATTTGGCAGCTCAATGTCAACTTTAAGCTTCGTTTGAAACTGCTTTCTTAATAATTCTTAAAGCAACTTTTGAATAAAATAAATAATTTTCTTTATACTAAAAAAATATTTTATGAAACACTAAAAAAGCAATCCCAAAGCCTTAATTTCCTCTTATTGAGGAACTTTTATTTGGTCCGGTCACAGAACGTAGCTCTACGTTTGGCCGCCAATAAAATCGCGCCACACATTTTCATTATTTACCGCACGTCCCGACAACCCGACCCAGAACGGACCCAGGATGGCTCTGTATTTCTCGATTTTGCTAGGAATTGCTCGGTATTGTTAGGTATTGGTCGATTTTGCTCGGCAATAACCAATACCGAGC